ATATTAAATAAAAAATATATATTATATAAAAAATATATATAATATAAAAAATTACTGTATATATTATAGTGTATTAACAATTATATATTATATAAAAAATAAATATTATAAAAATTTATATAAATATAAATAAAAAACCCATGCTATTTTTGCTAACCATTAAATGAACATTTGCCATGCCAAGTGTTCACTTAATATTTAGCAGAAGTCCTTGATATGTCTGCCTAGCAAGGCCCAATTGACTTTTCAAATTTACTGGTGTACCTAATTTTAAGAGTACCATAAACCACATAGCTAGCTGAGAACTTTAAAAACAAATTGTTTATGTAGCCTTTAAATGTTTGCAGTCAATAGTACATTCAAATTAAAAAATACAGCATCATCTTTAATTTTCATTTAAAAATTTTGATTCTTATGTCAAGAATTGTTTAAAAAAAAATTGATATTTTTTTTTTTCATAAAAATTATTATAGAAAATCTATATCCCAACTAGTCGTCCCGTGTGTACGAGTTGTGAACTTCCAATCTCCTGATCCCGTACACTAGTGAAATGTCATTTTGTCATCGAGACCAGGCAGGACTGTAATATGATAGGCTATGAAAACAATAATAGTATATCATTGATAACTGCAGCCAATAATAATAATTATTATTTAAGTGGTGGTGGCTTGGGCGATGACGACGGTCTAAGATGACAGATATTAACTCATCGCCAAAATGTAAACACGAAGCATTAACTACGAATCCATCAGTTAAAGCATACGCAAATTAGCTTTTTCCTTGCGTTGCGGCGCTTGCGTTGAGAAAAGTTGAATCGATTCAAATCGCAAACTATGCAAAAGTTGAGTCACATACACACGGGACGATTAGTTGGGATATAAATTTTCGATAATTTTTATAGAAAAAAAACTAATTTTCTTGAAACAATTCTTGACATAAGAACTGCGTGGTTTATGGTAAACTATTATACTTCCTTTAGATGGGTACACTGGTAAATGTGACAACTGGGCCTCGTTGTTGTTTATATCAAGGACTTTTGCTAAATATTAAGTGAACACACATATTTTTTATATAATATATTTTTTATATAATATATATTTTTTTATATAATATAATATTTTATATATAATATATATTTTTTTATAATATATAATATTTTATATAATATATAATATTTTATATATTATATAAAATATTATATATTATGTAAAATATTAAATAAATATAACGTAAAAAACCATGTCAATTTTTGCTAAATAATAAGTGGTACACATGGCGCCTCATAAAAAGTAACAACACTGAGCCACAATATATAACATTTTATATATTATATAAAATATTATATATTATGATAAATATTATTATATTATATATAATATATATTTTTTTATAATATATAATATTTTATATAATATATAATATTTTATATATTATATAAAATATTATATATTATGTAAAATATTAAATAAATATATAACGTAAAAAACCATGTCAAGTTTTGCTAAATAATAAGTGATACACATGGCGCCTCATAAAAATAACAACACTGAGCCTGGGAAAAATTTTACTGGTTGTTATTTTTAAAAAATTGTACTGCGCTGAGAGCAACCATTGACCAATGTGGAATTTAGCTCAGGTGGTAGAGTGTAAAAACATTACAAGGGTCTGTGGTTACTTGAAGTTTACGGTACTTGTTCGGTTTTTTTACATTAGGTTTGTTTTTCTTAGTTGGTACACATAAATAAAGAAACTGACTACATTTTTTTGTATTATTGAATATTAGGGGAGAATTTTACAAATATCTCTTGAGTTAATTGCTAATATGTGTTTAATACCCTTTAATTCAAAAACAATTTCAGGTGGCACTCAGGTTTACCTGTATGATTAGGCTATCTATGATATATTATAGCAGATATGATTAGGTTCCGGTTCCTTGGGCAGAAGGGAGGCCTACAATTAGTGGGTGGTTTAGATCTGTAACTGTCTCGGAATGATACTCTTAAGTCACTGATTCAGATCTTCCTGTAGTCCATTTTGTTTATTTTTTAACCTTGCTACAATTTACTGGTCATGTTTGTTTCAACCTTTTATTTACACATTACAAGTTGGTGACAGTGCTATACTAATTTAATATTGTGTGATATATTTATATAGCGCCAATTCCAAATTGAATGATTAAAGGGCGCTGAGCGTATTAACCCTTAATCACTGGATGACATACAACGGCAAACCAGCACAAAGTGCAACCTTCTCTGCTCCCAGAGTGTACCTAGTAGTGCGCTTTTGCTCAGCACATGAAACTAATACATTCAATGCCACAACAGCTTTACCAGGTACCCATTTATATTCGGATGTAGGTAAAAATGGCCCCGGAAAAAATGGCCCCTAATGACAAATAGGTAAAAATGGCCCCACTGAAAAAATTCCATAATAGAAATGATATTTTTTTATAATCTTCCAATATTTAAATACTAGCTGTAAAAAGCAAGAATTGAATCAATAACAAATACAGTTACACAACAGATGCAAATAATGTACTGAGTGATTATTGGAAAACAATGGCCATTGAATAACATTTTTTGATAGTAGAAATAAGTTTTAAAAACGTCATTCCACTAACAAAGTAGAGGATTGACATACATACAGTACTTCAACTACCAAAATAATCAACTTAAAGTTCACTTTTGTTAAGTATCAAAATAAAAATACTTAACATGTTATAAACAGTGCAAATAAACAGTAGTTTATTTAGTAGATGATAATCAAATCAGGGAGGGTTGCCAGATATCGGCCACAAAACGGCTAGATTTTAATCTTGTTTTTAATACGATAGAAGACAACAGTGGGTACATATTCATTTGAAATACTACCAAAAATCAGCGGTCATTCGTTTAAAATTGAAGAAATTCAAATGATATACACAGAACAATGTTAAACTTATCTATCTCCATAAAATACATGCCCAGCTACATCATAATATTTTATCTACATATATATCAATAATCATATCATTTAAAACTTCCAAGTATGAGAGAGCTTTCATATTAGTTGCTGGCAGACCAATTCAGTAGCGAATCAAGAGATGTCCGAAAGGGGGAGGGGCCGGGCCAAAAATAGAA